GCTGTTGCAGTCGTTCATCCCTCATGCCGCACACCAGCCGGTCACGGAGGGCTTCTTCCACGTCGGCGAAGTTGCAGGGCCTCGCAGCTTTCCGTAGGGCCGCAACATACTCCGCCACCGACTCGTTGGGAGCCTGACCCCTCTTATAGAAGGCATGCCGGCACGCAATCTCCGAGGGCTGCGGAGAGAAATGCGCCTGAAGCTTCTCGGTCAGGTCCTTGAAGGAGACGGTCTTGATGTCCGCTGGTGCCACCAGGGACCGGGCGATGTCAAACGTGCTCTTTCCACACGAGCTCAGGAGGGTCGCCCGCTTCTTCGCCTCCGTCGTTACATCATGCGCCTCGAGATGGAAGCTGAACCTTGACAGGTATGACTCCCAATCTTCGGACGCTGGTTCGAATGGCTCGAACTTCGGGCTATTGGCCATCTGTGCAATCGCTGCCACCGGATCTGGTGGTGCCTGTTGCTGACTGGCCACGGCGAGCTGTTGCTCTGCGTTGTCCGTCGTGGGTCTGGGTTAGCGGGGCTGCCTACCCGCACTAGAATCCCACCCTCGTCGCCAATTGTTAAGTCCGGCGCTTAACAATGAGTCGGAGAGTGATTCAGCAAAAGACTCAAGTTTATTCAGCTCTTTGTTCACTTCTTCGACACGGTACAACATCTGATAGCCCGAACAGTTTGTCCATTGAAACTGCTCGGTATTTAAACATTCCCGGCTAATGTAGCCACTCCTACTATACACAAATCAACCTATCAGGTTGAGCGCATAAGGACCAATCACAAACGTTCCCGCTTGCAGCTTGCTCGAATGTGATTGGGTCGTTAGTCTCGGACTTGAATCCCCTGTCCAAGACGAAGCTTAACATAGCTTCCCAATGGGATGTTTCACACACATCCTAATGTACTCATGGCAGCTATGAATACATTTCAGTCACCATGCACTCAGGTAGCAATTTTCCCTATAACTGGACATGTTCTGCCCTGTGCAGTGTATGTGTGTCTTGGGAACTCACTCTACATCACATCCTCAAACATGTTTGATGTACTCATGGCAGCTATGAATACATTTCAGGCACCATGCACTCAGGTAGCAATTTTCCCTATAACTGGACATGTTCTGCCCTGTGCAGTGTATGTGTGTCTTGGGAACTCACTCTACATCACATCCTCAAACATGTTTGCATTCCTTCTGTCTTCACTGCTTGAAGCTCTGGTTCATTTCACAACCTCTTCTCTGCAGACCTCTGCTCTTTTGGACTGGTAACAATAATTCCCCCCCCCCCCCATATTCCCGCTCTTACCTGCATTTCTATTAGTTTGTGTGTGTGTTTATCTTGTGCTTTTACTTCTGTATTTGTGCAATTTGTTGGTATTTTTCTCTTTCAATAAAAAGATTTTTTTCTGGTTAAGCCACTGCCTGGTTTATCCAAGGAAAAAATCCCTGTAAAAGCTGGTAGAGATTTCATGGTTACCTCCTCTCACAAACTTCTGTCTCTCTCACTAATTCCCCTAATTAAAAAGAGTCAACTCCTTTGGGTAACAACAGAACCTACCAAGGGGGAGGCAATCCTGGACTTGGTCCTAAGTAATGCTCAAGACCTGGTGAGAGATGTAAATGTGATAGCACTAGTTGGGAACACTGACCATAATGCTATTAAGGTTAGCATTTATGTGAACAGGGAGTTGCCCAAAAAGACTAACACAACCAGGGGTCATTTCGTAGAAAAAGAGGTGCAGGGGGCTCATTAGCATAACTAATTAGCATAACTTATTTGCATATGCCACACCCCCTAACATCACCGGAAGTGTGTCAGAAGGCAACACCCACTGCTCAGGCTCCACTGGACTGTTTTAAATTGCCAGCTATTGGGGGGGGGGGGACGTGCAGATCTGTCCTCGCAGAGGAGGGAGAGCTTGTACCTGAATAAAACTTGGCCTTAAAGGTGCCACTGGCCTGTTTTGGACCGGGGGGCTTGGGGGGGGCTCTGCAGCTTACCTGGCTGCTTCTTGCTCTGACTGAGGGCTACTGGGAGCAGGGGGTGGGGCTTGTTGCATGTGCCTACCCCCTGGGCTCTTTACTGCCGGAGCTCCGCTCCTGTGCGCTCCTGCAGGAAATGACCCCTGAACACAACCACATTTCACTTTAGAAGGGGGTAACTTCTCTCAAATGAGGGGGATTGTGAAGAAGAAATTGAAAGGAAAGATAAGGAGGGTCAAAACCCTTTGGGAAGCTTGGAGATTATTTAAAAGTACGATTCTGGAAGCTCAGAGGAAATGTATACAGCAGGTTAGGAAAGGTACAAACAGGTATTTAAAAGGCCTGCTTGGTTAACAAAGTAATGGAAGCAATAAAAGGTAAGAAGGATTCCTTTAAGTGGTGGAAGGCTAGTTCAAGTGAGGTAAATAAAAGGGAGCACAGGTTTTGGCAAATAAAATGCAATTTGATGATCAGACAGGCAAAAAGGGACTATGAGGAACATATTGCAAAAAACATAAAGACCAACAATAAAATTTCCTCTAAATACATTACAAGCAGAAAACCAGCCAGGGAGGCAGTGGGGCCTTTGGATGACCAAGGGTTAAAAGGATTACTAGAGAATGACAGGGAAATGGCAGAGGAGCTGAATGCATTGTTTGCCTCTGTCTTCACTGTGGTAGATGGGAGGTGCTTGCCTACTCCAGAACCACCAATTTCAGGAGGGGTGTTGCACGACTTGAGTTGGATTGAGGTGACAAGAGAGGAGGTCCTATGTCTGATAGACAAATTGAAAACTGACAGATCACCAGCCCTAGATGGTATAAATCCAAGA